GGGGGGCGGGGGGGGAGGGGGCCCCCTGCTGTAGTCGTGCATGCAAAGTGGGCACATCTGCAGGCGCAAAGAGGCACAGCGCAGCATCCCAAACCCTAAACCCTAAACCCTAAACCCTAGGCTTTAAACCTCGGCCCTGCGCACTGGGCCCTGCAAGCCAAACCCTAAACCCCAAACCCCAGGCCCCAAACCCTAGCCCCTGAGCGCCAGAGCCTGCAAGCCAAGCCCCAAACCCTAAACCCTAAACCCTAAACCCTAAACCCTAGACCCCACAGCGTGTTGAAAGGGTTCAGGGTTTCGGGTGTATGTACACACCGCGCTGCGGCGAAACCAGGTGTCTAGACAGCTCTTGTGGAAAATGTGCCCACAAGGCAAAACCCTAACCAGCGCAGAAGGCCCGAACTCTTCGAAGCAAATTGCGCATCTGCAGCCGCAAACGCATGCAAAACGCATGCAAAACGCATGCAAAATGCATGCATGCAAGGCCCCAAAAGCAAGCAAACAGCGCATGCACGCATGCAGGCATGCAGGCACGAACGCAGGGCCCCAAACAGGTGGAGGCACACTTCGCATGCATGCACGCATGCAAAGCCCCAAACGCGCATGCATGCGTGCATGCGTGCAAAGCCCCAAAACGCATGCATGCATGCGTGCACGCATGCATGCATGCATGCAAAGCCCCAAAACGCACCCGGACTCTATGAAGCGACTCAAACACTCTTTGTCGCCTTCAGACTGGGGGGCCCCCGGGGGCCCCTTAGAGCCTCCCCTGTCTGCCATTTCTATTTCTACAACGCGAGAGTCCTGCTGCACGCAGCAAACCCTAAACCCTAAACCCCAAACCCTAAACCTAAACCCTGAACCCTAAGGTACAACTGACCGCTGTGCCTCGAGCCCAGCAGCCCCTAAAACCCAAACCCTAAACCCTAAACCCCAAACCCTAAACCCTAAACCCTAAACCCTCGAAGCTCACAGAGTCCCGCGTGCTCCCTGAAGAGGGGGCCCCCAGGGGGCCCCTACGGGGGCCCCCGTTGGCTGCGTGGAATTCCCTCAGGACAGCTGCGTAGGGTTTCGCAGGGCTCCAGGTGTCAATATGCCGCAAGTAGCTGGGGGGCTGCAGCAGCAGCAGCAGCAGCAGCAGCGGCAGCAGCGGCAGAGGGAGCAGCA